TGAAATCAGGTCTTTATTGTCTTTTAACTTTGTTATTTACCATTAAAGATCGCTTCTGAATTCAGTTCTAAACATACCACTCTATTCCTTATTAGTAATTTCTCAATTTATTTTACTGTTTATTGTAGCTTTGAAGGGCTGAATAATGAAACTTAGGTTGGAGACAACTTCACTGTTTCATTTGCAAAGAACCGTAGAGCTCAGCCCTTGGCAAGTCCTTGGACAATGTAAACCAAACAAGCTATGGCCTGTTGGGCAGCTACTAAATTTAAAGTAAAACCGAGACAGATTTCTGGACTTTCATTTTTTGTATGAGTATCTAACATCCTCCTGCTCAGCTCTGATTGTTAATCTCCTTTGTCTTTAAAGCTCTTTAGGAGACTCCCTTGACCTTTCCTAGGAGCTGAGGGGCCTTTGGTGCGTTTGCTTTGCCATAGGTTTATGAGTCATGGCAAACTTTATTTCCTATTAAAATCTAAGCTATTAAAAAAAACAAACCCAAAACCTGAAACACCCAGGAAAACTCACAGCATGTGATTCACAGCACGTGAAAAAGAGCTTTCTCAGAATCCAACTTTTTAAATACCCATCTTTTAGTTCCATGGGAAAACGTGCATTTTCTTTCAGGAATGTTTTTGAGTTACAAGGCTTGCAGATTTCAGTCCTGTAATAGCAATTAAAAAATAAATTAATCTTTTTTTGCTAAGGGTAAGTATGTCTTGAATGTACCAAAAGGACCCAGCGTGTGTTGGAGACCAGCTGTTGTCACAATGTACTGTATGTATACCATGATATAGTTTTCCATGGACAGCTTTAAGTCAGACCAATGTCTGTAGAACGGTAAACATGCATACTTAGTTTTAAAGGGGGAAAAAAAATCCAGGTTGAAGGTGCGTCTGAATAAGTGTTTTCAGTATTAGGAGTAAGAAAAAGAGAAGTCACTAAAGGGCTACGTATTTTACTGTGCTGCACATGAACTGAGGGCAGAGGAAGAAGAGGGGAATGCCGGGAAGGGGAGGGTTAGAATTGGAAAGGGGAGGGATGTTGCTGTTTGTCACCTGTGATCAGCAGGCAGCACGATTAGGTTACGTGTCAGCAGGCCAGCTTAATTAACTTACACATTTATTTATGGTACTGTTGTAGTATACAAAATCTATAGCTGTGTTATTTTGTAAAGCTTGTCATGTTGTATCTACGTGAAAACCATTAATAAAGTGAAATTTTTATTGCTTACTACTTCACCATGAGTTTTTAATTCAAAGAAAAATAATTTATAGACCTTTAATAGCTTGATACGCATTTTTGACTCTAAGGAGATAACTCGTAACAGAACTGAAAGGTCTTGTTTCACCTAAGGCTTTTCAGCTAGATTTTACTGTTTAGATGAAAAGAAATCTAATTTTTCTGTTGATTTAGTTACATAAATTTTCTGTAGCGTACCTCAAAGCAGAATTTCACCAGTAAGTTTTTACTTTTACAGTTTACATGGGTTTTGTTTCGTTGTCTTTTTTGTTTGTTTTTTTTTTGTTGGTGTTTTTTTGTTTGTTTTCCCGTACGGAAGTATCACAAAGTTGTAGCTTTATCCCATAAAGGCTTATTCCTGCGTGACACGTGATGCCACTGTGACACACGAGATACAGTTTCAGGGTGTTTATTGAAAAAAAACCAGTTCTAGCTGCCATTTGCTCTTCCTGACTTTATTCCCTCAGGCACGAACACTGCTGAATGCAACAAAGACAGGATAAAATAATTTATATTTTGGAGGGACAGAGGGGAATCAGATTTCAGAGAGATTTCTTAGCAAGTCCTCATTCTTGTTCTCTAGCCTGGGCTTGCCTTGCCCTGCCTGGCCCCTGCCCCCTTGCTTCAAACCTGGAAATGGTCTCAATCACCAGCTTGCTGTACCTTGAAGCTTTATTGTGCCTTGCTGAGACAGCAATACAAGTGGAAGAGAATTGCGTCCTTGAATGTCAGTCTTCCCTGTAGTCTTCTGGCACCACAATACCTCTGTGTACTGAAATGTCCCTGGTGTACCCATGCTATGGGGAGCTACTGCTTTCCTTGTTTTACAGGAGACCAAGGGTCTCATTTGTCGTACCAATATGGAGCTGAAGTAATCCCATTCTCAACTGCTTGCCGTGTCTCTCTTTCAGAGACTGCTGTTTCCACAGCAGGTCTGGCTTTACCTGTGAGCAGATCTGCTGCTGAGCCAGTGGCGTTTTCAGCTCTATCTGTCTGCACACAGCAATACACATTTGAACGTGTATACACATTGATAGCCTGAGCTGTACTTTGGCAGTTTAGGAATAGACTTGTGTGTGATTCTGCAAGATTGTTCCTCAGAAGCAGAAACCTCTGGGCACGAGCATAAGCAGAGAGAGCCCAGGGAGCCGTGGCTGCCATCTCAAAGAGTGCAAATTCCCTGCATGTGTGAGGCAGCACTTCCCATGGCTTGTGCAACCACCTGGAAGGGGAACGTAGCAGCCAAGGGACTAAACCCATGTCCTGGGGTTGTCCTTCCAGCCCCTCTTGCGACCTCTGCCCACTGGCTTGGTTGGACTCCCAGCCTGGGTACTCTGTTCTGTCTTTAAAGCCCTGAGTTTTTCCATAGGATATTTGTTCTGTGGTATTATCAGTTATTCGTTAGTATTATCATTTTGTCTGAATTTCTGCTACTTTATAAAATGCTTTTACACCCATTTTGGTCCTAGTCACAGTGCTTGATACAAGGAAAAGCAGCCTCTCTGCTGCCCTCGGAACTGAGAGCTGTTTCTGGTTGGGAGTTTGTGTGTGTGTGTGTGTGTGTGTGTGTATCTTTTCTGTGAAGACCATGTGTATATTCTGTGTCCATGTGGGAAATGTGTAAGGGAATTTATGGAGATTTTAGATACATTGGCTGATAAACTGATAAACATAATTTTATTTAGCTTTATTTTTCTTTTCTTTTTTTTGTCTTTTTCTCTGGTAAGTGAGATTCTTCAAGAATTTGAAGAATCTATCTGGATTTCCTCATCTTCATGTCCTACCTGATTTATCAACTTTTTAGAACTTTGCAATTGATTGTTTCATACAAAATGCATGACTGAAAAGTTAAGGTTGCAAAATCAAGTACAAAAAAGTTAAGAAATGCCTCTTTTGGGCTTGCCTGTGTAGCCTTATATATATAAATACAAATAGATAAGTAAGTATGTATAAGGCTGCACAGGCCTATAACATATATATATGTAGGTATGTGTATATTTTTTTTTCCTCCTATGGAATCCTGCTAGGTTTCTATGCACAGCATCTACAGTAGTAGCTGATGGCAGCTGTAATCAGTTATCTAATATGCGGCCCCATCCCCTTTCTTGCCCAGTGTTCAGACCCTGATTTGAGAATCTGTCCAGCGCAGATGGAATCAACAGTAGATTTAGCTACAAGTTCTGCAGAACATGTACAAACTGGCATTACAGGCCTGAAATTGCCCAGATGCATACAGGCTGTCATTAAAAATGCAGGTTAGTTTTCTGACACCCAAGTGATTCTACTGCACAGTTCCATCTGTTTTTCCAAAGTATATGATTCTACAGCTTTTGCACAGTGCGTTTAATGGTTCTCTGCAATGGCTGAACACGTCTTGACACAGAATAACATTTTTCTCCTGGGCCCTCTACTTAGGAATGGATGACCTACTTGTGCTAAAACTTTAATTTAAATTAGGAACAAATCATCCTGAAACAGGCACCAGACATGGATTATTTCATCCCAGACATTTGCAAAAGGAAAAATATGCTCATGAGTGAAGAAAGGAGCTTAGAATGGGTGTTGGCAACCTGAGCTGCAACTGGTGATACAATATCAAAAATTACACTGCCACGGCACTCTCAGGGGGGTTGGTGTTGACTCTGTATTCTAAATGGTCATGACCATGTGCTCACCTTTGGTCTTTTTATTGACTGTTTCACATCTATAGTCTTCAAATAGACAGTTTCACAGCCTGTTGTGCCATCCATACCTAGCCCTCTTCACCTTTCACATGCATTCCGGACCACTGCTTTGTGACTACATTAAAAAAAAATAAATAAGAAAAATGCTTCAATATCCTGAGAATTGGGAGAGAAACTCTAGAGGATGAGACTTTTGTACAACTGCACTTTTTTTAAAGAACCCTTTATATTGTTATAGCAATTTTATGTATTCTGTGTGTCTGTGTAAAAAAAAAAAAAAAAAAAAGTCATGCTTGTTCCCAGAACAGCATTTGTGTTCATATAGCTGCACTGTTGTGTATCCAACTAGTGATATGAATGGAAAAATAACTAATGATGCAAATATTTAAGGATTTGGTGTGCAGTTATTTATGTGTTTAACTTTGAAAGTAGGAATAGATTCATATTCTTAATACACGTAATGCTCCTTGCCAATTTTCAGCAACTCACCCACTTGTCTGCCCTGTTTTATGTAGCACTAAATTGGTCCGAGAAAGGCAGGTTAAAAACCCAAAAAGTTCACCTGGATGTCAAGCATTTTCTCTTTTTCATCCCTCATGTCTCAACCTTTTTATTGTGAAAATGATGAAAAGTCAAATTTGCTTGTTTTTCTCATTGTTTTCCACTTGATCGGATCCTTTTTCAAAGAACAAAGCAAAAAACCCCAAACCTCTAGTCCTCAGCTGCTTCTGATGCATGGTAAATTAGTCTGACTTCACTTGAGTATGTACCAGTGAGTTGCAGTTGTACTGTGGTGTTTTCTGCTTTACCTAAGGAGGAAAAACACATCTGGCTTATAAATCAGACCAAAATTTGAATGCTTCCTTCAAGCGTGTATTGGGTGACTGCTCTATATATTTTACAGGCCTGTAGTGTAAATTACGTGGTATGGTGGTAAAAGCCTCCTATGTTTCCTTAGAGGATCATACTGAGAAAACTTGTAGCCTCACAGTATCTGCAAATGTAACGTTGGCTACGTGATGTACTACAACTATGACATTTACAGTAACAGTTGTATTTCTTGATTGTTTTTAGAAATTGCCCCTTGGTTACATGTGTTCAGAGCAGAAGATGCTGTGGACTTCTCACAGTTAACGTTTGACCCAGGACAAAAAGAGCTTATTGCTGGAGCAAGGTGAGAAATCTATTTTCTTTTCATGTTGCTTCAGACTGGATTTTGTTCTTTGTTGATAAGTAATATTGAGCCAACTTCTAACATCAGCTTGCTTTCATATGACTCCCCTGCCTTCCAGACCCACTAAACTGAACATTATGTATGTTTTTTTCTCTTATTCCTGACCAAAGTTAAAAGATGGACTACCTGGTATCAAGGATCCTAATAGCTTACTCTATTCTCATTTTTAAGAGGACTGTCCTGGAGTACTCTCAAACTTTGCATGCATACAGTAGAACAGGCAGATGCTGTATGACAATGTGAGAAGAGTTACCATAGCATAAAACTTACGATGATCCCAAATTTGGCTACACAATACGGCTCTTTGTGCTTGGATGTTTCTAATAATTATTCAGTATGGTGTCAGGAACGATTTGTTAAAGACTGCAGAATTAGTGGTAAAGTCAGTGGTAATCATAATTTTTGCACAGTAGGACAGTACTTTGCAAGCTGTGATCAACAGTGACACTGTCTTAGGTGTCAACATTGAAGCAGTGACAGTCCTTGAACACCATTTTTTCTTCTCTTAGCATATGAACTATAGTAAAACATTTTGGTTGGCAAAAGATTTTAACCATCTAATCTTATTATTTAAATCTGCCTTCTGAATATATTTTACTCTCGAATTAATGAAGTTTTTCTGTTAGATTTAGCATTGGAATATACTTCTGTTTCCCAATTTGTTTCTTAGTTGAAAATGAGGTTCAAAATACAGAGTCATAAAATGCACCGCGAGAGAATTTTTCTTCCGTGTGCCAAGGGAAGGTGCTTAGCTACAGGGGCAAAACTTTCTGAGTGTGGAGATATATATCTGTCTCTGGCCCACCTGAAGTGGGATATCCTGTGCACGCAGGTTGATTTTTCTATTCTGTAAGCTGCCAAATGAAATGAGGCATGAGGCTGTCAACTGGCGCTGTTCTGTAAAGACAGCCAGCGTAAGTCAGATCTGTCTGAGCCTTTCCTCAGTCCCATGGAATTGTGTGTTGGATCGATGCACACTGTATAAGTCTCAATAACCGATGAAAAAAATGTTTTTTTTTCCCTCCTCTCTTTTTTTTCTCCACACTGTTCATCTGGGCTCCAAATCTCAGCAAAGAATACGCTCATTTAAACTTGTGCTTTTGATGAAGTCTTTTGAGTCACTATGGGATAAGCTTTGGATGATTTTGTTGAATAGTCAGTGACTACGAAAAAATGCCAGCTGCCAATTCTGCCTTTTGCAAAAGACCCAATACAGTAAAAGCAATAGGATTCATTTGGTTTCTTTATAAGTTAATGCTGCTTCAGAGCTTTGTATCTCTTTTTCTGGCTAAAATTGCAAAATTAAAAATATTCAGTGTTTTTAAAATCACAACAGAAATCTTTGTTTTCCACAGTCCAGTATAGCTGGCTGTTATTTGTTCATAGAATTTATTGGATTTTTCCTTTCCTTATTCTGCATTTCCATTCTAAATTCTAAGCTTTTCCACAGCACTGTTGTGTTTGGCCATGGAGACCTCACTTTAGAATGACTGCACATGCCAGCGGGTTTCTCTAATTGTACATGTTATTGATACTAGTGTGTCCTTTTCACTACACACTTTTTCTCTTCTTGAAGCATTGTGCCAGACTATATGGTGAAAGTCATTGTATGTCATGGAGTCATAGATTCAGAGACTAGCTACCAGTTGTCAGGGTGCTGCAGTCCCAAAAATGCAAGTGTTGATCTTACTGATTGTGCACCTTTTGCATATAGTCCCCGCTATCATGTAGAATGAATCTGTTCACTGTGAATATGATGTCAAGTTTTCTGCTCGTTTGCAGGAGTGGTGTTTGCAGCCTTTCATAGTCTCAACTGGCTGCACTAATGTTTTTTTTTTTAACGCACTGTTTGTAGTTACCTTTCACCCAGGGCTATCTGAACAGACCATTAATATTACCATACTTGTGCTATGGCCTGTGGATAAAATTTTAGTACAAGTTTCTTGCACATCTGCCTCACAGGATTCACATATCTGAAGAGCCGTTAGAAGAATTCATTTTCTGTCCTAAGCCACAAATGTGCTCTCATAAAGACAGTGAAGAGAATGCAATGTTAATTCCTGCTCCCTGGTGAAATATTTTTTGACATACAGTTATTTCTCTTAGAATATTCCAACAATTTATTTTTATTATCTTCTTGTACTAACACTTCAGTACTGAAAAACTAATAACTATGTGCAATGTGATTTCGGTAAGATCTGAACAGTTAAAAGTTCCCGTTCAGTTGGGAAAATGATAATTTGTAGCCCTCTAACATGGTTTCCCCTTCTCTACCCAATCAATGGTAGAGAAGGGAAATATGTGATGTGGCACGTGCCAAAGCTACAAATAAACTTAGATTACTCCATTTACACTGCCAAGAGAAGTACTCCCATTATGATTCACTTGTCCAGCATCCAAACAAAAACAAGGCGTGAAGCTTGCACCTCTAGGCTTCTGCTTTAGTAAGGTGGTGTTCTTCTAAACTAGAGGAATGATTTTCACAGCCAGGAGCTATGTCCTGGCTCAGCTTAAGTTTGTAATTGATTTTTTTCACCTTAGTGGAGTTCAGTGAACTCTTCCCCCAAATTTCTGTGTCTTAGAAACCAAATAAAATAGTGTTGTGAAAATTTGACACTATTGGAAATTCTTAAATCCCTTTTCCATCACTGATATTCACTGCGGGTGATTCTCTTCCATTTTTGAAGTTCTACAGCCTCTGAAGAGGTTCATGACTTGTTTGTCTTAATAAGCAACATAGCAAAGATCCCAGCTGGGATCCAGACTGGATTCCCGTTGGGAGCTTCCAATGTCATGCAGCTATGTAAAAAGACACATATGATCCCATGATGCCTCAAAAGGTGTCTCCCGTAGTGACAGAGAACTATCGATACCATTTCACAAGGTCCTTGGGAGACTTTAAGCTGTAGTAGTGTGTATTATTCTGTTTATATATGCTTAAACAAGGTTAACTGAAATTAGAAAGAGATGTAGGGAAGAGCTGCTAAAAGGCAAATGAAGAGGGTTGGAATTGTAGTGCAGGAAAACAAAGGCTGAGCGTGTGCAGCGCCTACCTATAAATCCATCAGCAGGTACATCTAGGGAAGGAAATAGCTGTATAAACTACACAGTAGTGTTGGCAGAAAACCAAATCGGTTCAAGTTGGCCATGGGTAATTTAGTCAAGAAACAACGAGTTTTGTCACATTTTAGCAGTGTGAACAAAACAAGAACAGAAATATTTTTGAGATAGAGATCTCTAAATATATGAAAGGGACATTATTCCTTAGTGTTTGCCATAGCAGGCAATGACCAGGAAGGTAATTACTAGTCCAATATTGCTAAGATTAGTCTTGCTTGTCCAGTTTGGGAAATAAAGGTGGTCTTCTGATGTCTGTGGGCATTCTGTAGTTGCTGTGCAAAACCAGACTTTGTTACAATTTTATCTGCTCCCTCCCGCCCTCCCCCCCGCCCTCTGCAGGTTGTCTTCCAGTCCTTGTGAAAAGTCTCTGGTTGATATTTTATTTTGTTCTGCAAAATGTCCAGTTCTCCTGCAGGTCTTGAGTTGATTAATTCGGAGTCTACTAGCCTTATTTCAGTTTCCTTACGCCATCTGCAGCGATCTACGAATGTTACTACTCCAATACTGCACACACCTTCACTTTAATCATCCAGTCCACCCTGGCACTGGTATTTCCCTTGTGATGAGGAGCTGCGTAAGATTTGGAGCCACCCCCTGCTTTCCCTCTCCCATCACCCGCATTAGGGAGAGAGGTTGCTGATCCCAATGAAGTTTGGTTTTGGCTCAGTCTGGCTTATTTCTGGAGTATGCACAGTCATGTTTCTCTGAACGCAATAGAAACAAGTAACTGCAGTCCGTTTTGTTGTTCATCTTTCAAATTCCTCACAAATCCTTTACCTCCACTGTGGGGAGTGTCTTTATTTCTTAGGTCACACTGATGCGCATTTCCTACCATGAAGTCCAATGCCTTTTAGTAGCGACTGCTTTAGTTTCTGAATATTGCTATACAGTACAGGTTCAATTATACTTCCTGTTTTAATTGTAAAAGGAGCTGGCACAACTTCCAAGTTCAACGAGGCTTGCACTTGTCTTTCTGTCAGAGTCACTTGACAATCATGAATGCCTTCCAGTCTAACAGGTCTGCTTAATAACATATATTAGATCTGAAGCATAAGTGTTGTAATACTTTTGTTTTAAAACAGTGTCATTTGGTCTTCTATCAATCTGCTGTGCAGAAGGAGATATATGTGTACCATTGGCGAGGGCTTCAGAGGGAGAGGAATGTCTTCTAAAATGAGTGATGAGTTTGCCTGGATCTCAGTAACAGCCTACAGTTGCCCTGCTTGCCTGGGACGTTTTTGCACAAATTGTCTGTGTAGAAAAATTCATTTAGATAGCTTTGAGAAATGGGGGAGTGGGGGGGAGGGGGTGGGGACAGACAGGGGAAAAGGCAGAGGGAGAAATTTATCTTGTCTGACTTTGGTCAAACAGCCTAAAGTGCATAGTGAAGACAAGCAAAGATTACAGTTCAATTTATGAAGCTGAATAAAGGGAAGAAGAATGATTTTTATTACGGTTGCTGGGTTTTAAAATTTGCATTTGAAGAACATGACAGATTTTTGTCAATTAGGTCTAGATTTATGTAAAAGGAAACTTTTTTTCGTAATAGGTATGTGCTAAATTGTATGATGATATTATACATTTATGTAAAATGGAAAAAAAACAGATTAATGAGAAACACTACAGAGAAAATTCAGTATGGATGTAAAACAGTTGTTAGTACATTACGAAGACTATTGGCTTTTGACACAGGGCAATGTAGCTATGTTCCCACGAAACTGTATCTTTAAAATTTGCACCAGGCATTGTTCTTAACATCACATATGACCTGGAAGGTAAAAATAAATGAGTTCTCTTGCAATCTGAAACCTTCTAGGGAA